GTTTAAAGAGCTGTTTAAGCTGTTTCTGATCATCTGCTTTAAAAGAAGTCTGCTACAACAAGAAGAGGCTTTTCATTTCAACTGAGGATCTTATCCTCATCATCCTCTATTGTTCTTCTTGTTTATTGAGAAGTTTTCCTAACTCATCCTTTCATATAGCTTATAATTTTATTTTCATATCTTAGCTATATTTATTGAGTTACATATTTTTTTCATTCACTATTATCACACACACAATATTGAGCTTAATATCTTCATACTATATAGTGTGTGTTGTGGGGTGTGATTTAGTGAGTGTGAGCTTCATTTGCGTTCTCATTTGTTATTTAGAACAAACCATTGAGTTACATATTTTTTCATTCACTGTTATCACACACACAATATTGAGCTTAATATCTTCATACTATATAGTGTGGGTTGTGGGGTGTGATTTAGTGAGTGTGAGCTTCATTTGCGTTCTCATTTGTTATTTAGAACAAACCATTGTATTTAATCTTTATTTATGAGTATCACTTGTAATACACTTGTACACCGAGAGAAGTGTGAGGCGAGAGACGGGGTCGAATCCAATAGGAGTGGCGTCGGTTGACGAACCTAGAGAGAGGTTGCATCCGAGCACTTGAGGAGGAGGACACGTGCTAGGTTCCTACACTTAGTGTGTGAAGTGTGATTGCATAGTGTGAGAGTTTTCGGTAAGCTTATAAACCGAGTGTGTAAAAGTTCCGGCTTTCAAACCGGATTGTGATAGTGGAGATCTCCTCGAGGTGAGGAGCGGGGACGTAGGTCGTGGTGATCGAACATCGTAAACATATCGTTTGTTTGTGTTTTGCTTAGCGTACTTTTTATTTGTGCTTATTCATATCTTTCTTGTTCATATCAATCTTATATCATTTGTGCAAGAACAAATTAATCAATATTATTTTTATTAGAATTTAATCGGGATTAGATTAGAATAAGATCCTAATCACCCTCCCCCCATCTAGGGTCTAACATATATATATATATAATATGATATAATATAATAATAATATATATATATATATAATAATATATAATATATATATATATATATATATAATATATATATATATAATTAATATATATATAATAGTAGAGAGAGAGAGAGAGAGAGAGAAGGAGAGAGAGAGAGAGAGAGAGAAATGTGTAATGCTTTGTAACCAAGCATATTTTTTTTGCTTAAAGAGTGAGGTGGCATACCTCGCCGCCCCCCCCCTCCCCCTCCCCCGCTCATTAAAAATTGGGGCCAAACATTCAAACATGGGTTGGGGTTAGTGCACCGTCACTACCAAGCACAAACTTGTGGGATTGTGTGTGTGTGTGTATACACACACATATATAATGAGCAAAACTTGTGTCAACATTAAGTGGAATAGCAAAAAGTTATCACTCATGCCTAGGGATCCTTATGCATGATATAAAAATAATTTTTATATTAATAATGAGTGGCTAAGAAAGTTTGGTGGATATAATATATATATAATATATATATATTATATATATATTATATATATAATAATATATAATGTAGTATTATATATATATATATATAATATATATATATATATATATATATATATATTATATATATATATATATATAGAGAGAGAGAGAGAGAGAGAGAGAGAGAGAGAAATATGGGTATGCCTTGTACCAAGCACAAATTTTGTGCTTGGTATAGTGAGGTGGCAACAATCCCCTTCACTCATTCAAATGAGAGATCACATTCACTGGATTGAGGAGTACATGGGGATATGCAACCATTTGAGATTGAGTTGGAGGGGATTATGTCACTACTATCAAGCACATCTTTTTTTGGCTTGGTACCAAGCATACCCATTTTTCTCATATATATATAATAAATATACAAAACTTATGTCAACTTAAGTGGATAGCAAAAAAATTTAGCACACACACATATATATATATATGAGTAAGACTCCTATAAACTAAGTTGAATGTCCACCAAACTTCTAGGCCACTCATTTATTAATATAAAAAATATTTCATATCATGCAAGGATCCCTAAGGCAATATGAGTGGCTAAAAAGTTTGGGTGGATAGCTTTTTGTTATCCACTTAAGTTGACATAAGTTTTCTCTCTCTCCCTCTCTCTCTCTCTCTCTCTCTCTCATCATCTATATATATATATATATATATTATATATATAATATATATATATATATATACTATATATATATATATTCGTACTTTCTTTTTTTAACCCATTTATCCTAAAAAGTCCAAAGGGGGCAAAAGCTAAAATTAATGTATCACGAGAGAGAGAGAGAGAGAGAGAGAGAGTCGCTACAATTTGCTCATCATCTTTTCAAGAATCAAACAAATCACGATCACGGTCTCACCTCTTCAACCGACATACTATTAATGAATACAACAGAGGGGTGACCACCCGTTTACTAAATACCCGGCCCGATTATCTTTGGATCCGATATGCGCGGATTTCCTTGTAATTGCACGACTAAATTTTAGCTACAAGTTGATTATAAATAAAATTAACGTAGGAGGCCGGTGCGTCACTTCATTTACATGATCAAGATCCAAGGAATACTTCTCGATCCTCTAAAAAAAAATCAAGGAATAATGCGTGACGCAACAGTCACAATTAATGGAAAAATCATTATAAGATCTCCATTAGGCCACAAGCATGGCAAGTGTCCTTCGTACAGTAGTTTCCATAATTTATGCACACATAAAAAACTATGATGTGTAATAATGGTTATACTTACCGAATTAATTATAAGTCTAGGATGTTAAGTACATGCTTTACCTATTTTATGGTCTTTATCGATGGTTGACCCTCCTCTTGATAATGATGGACATGCTAACCTCACACCTATATACAACCTAAAAGGCTTAAAATCATCTCGACAGTAAGGGGCTGTTTGGAAGCCTTTAGGAAACTAGAGTATTTATGACACAAAATAGAAAGTGGTTATCCACCTCACCACTTTCCATTCGAGTGTTTACATTGTTTAATTAGGAATCTTTGCGAATCCTAAAATAATAGTATTACATTGTTTGGGTAGTATAATGTAAACTAGAGTATTTATGATACAAAATGGAAAGTGGTTATCCACCTCACCACTTTCTACAAGGTTTTGACTTTTTTATTATTATTTTGGACACATTTATGACATTGTGTCGGCATAACAATAAAATTACTCCTAATTTTGGTGATTTTGCTTTCGGTGACACATTATCAAAAGGTGTAAGCTTTTCATGTAAAAGAGAATTTAAACAAACAAAGTAAAGTGATGAAAGCTGACATTGGGACCTACTTTTTTACACTTTCCATCCTTTTACATGGTAAAAACATACAAAGTGATGAAAGCTGACATTGGGACCTACTTTTTTACACTTTCCATCCTTTTACATGGTAAAAACATACAACCAAACAGCCCCTAAACTTGGGACCTACTTTTTTACACTTTCCATCCTTTTACATGGTAAAAACATACAACCAAACAGCCCCTAAAAAAGAAAATGGGGTTCTGGATATTAAACCCTTATTTTCTTCCCCGAAATCATATAAAGCGCTATTAGGTTCCCAATCTTAAGTTATTTTCAAATTAGTCTCTTCAATCAATCAAGAGTGTACAGTATAGCATTCAGCGATTAATGTGAAACAATTTATTAGAATTGAGGACCTGATCGATAGTAATTCAATGATTTGAGGTAAAATGTGAAAGATGCAAGGGACTAAGATAAAAAAATAAAAATAAAGAGCCCAGCAGAAGATTAGGGATTCAAACCGAAGATAACGTACAAGCTATACTAACTGCCAATGTTAGTCAACTGCAAGCACGTGAGCGGGGTGAGTGGGTAAGTTTGCATGAACCGATATTAACTATAAACCATTACTAGAGAGTAGAGATAGGATTGCATCTGGCTGCACAAAAACCCTGTGAATGAGAAATAACTACAACAGCGTTGTTGGAGTTTTGGGGAGGGAGATGAAGGGAGATGGAGGATTCACCGCCAGCCGCGCCGCCGGTCCGATCGCCGTCGTTTTCGCCGTCTTGCTTTTCGCGTCGGTCATGGTAATTTACGACTGTGTTTGGTCGTCGACGGCTGCCGGAGGATTTTTCCGGCTACAAAATAAACAAGTTTCGGTTAGTTTTTTTCTTTTTCTTTTTCTTTTTCTCCCTCCTATCTATCTCAAAAATGCTTGTTCTTTTTTAACATTATGATGCATTATGTTGGCTCTCATGTTTTCTTAATGAAACTGAACAAAGATGTCTATGAAATTTGTCAACTAGAGAAAATAGAAACAACAAGTCGATCGATCTAATCTTGTTTAGAGCAATGCTCGCACGATCAAATGGCAGGGATTGTCCGCGTTAAATTCTGAGTTTATTAATAACAGAGAACTGATATCTATTTATCTAAAAATAAAAATATAATATTATAGAAATACATGCATAATGGATATTTGTGACCGAAGACGAACTAAACAATGAGATTTTTATTTTTTTTATTTTTATTTTTTTTTTTGGGATTGTCTTTGGGATGATATTTAAAAGTAGAGCGCATTAAAGTCTTTTGTAGTTGACGCATGCAGTTGAAAAGTTTCTTTCGCGTGGTCAGTAGAACTTCGCTGTACAAATTCAAAATAATTGGTTGTAAAACTGTTGAGAACGGATAACTTTCATATCATGATAACGATATTGGGATTTTTCGTTTATCCCTGTCAGTTTTACCCTGTGCTCACATTCACGTGCATTCATAGCAGTGGCGCAATATTAAAACGAGCGCACAAACTTACAAATATATTTCATCTCTCAGGAAATTGGATGAAAACACTGTGGCACACGGGAATACTGTAGCAAAGGCGAAAATTAAGAAAATAACGTAGCAGTTAAAACTGAAATTACTGTAGCGAGAGAAAAATATGTCGTACTTTACACGGTGTTCACACTAGTGAGTTTTATTTGAAATTAAGTTTACAACATGTGCGGTCTACTTGTCTTTTTGTTCAAATGGAGAGCTTGATCAAAACTTCGTGGGAGTTGGCCCATGAAGAAAGCTACTTTAATAATGTTACTTGTTCTGTCATATAGAGGAAGAAAACACAGAGTGCAAAGAAAAAAAAAGACTTGAGCTTCTCTATTTGTTCTTTGATGAGAGAGAGTTCAAAAATTAGAGCATTATGATTATCAATTTAAGTCCTATCTCATCTCTGTAATTCTCCTCTCCTTCTCGGAATGAGGTCGTGGTGCTTAAGAATGTGATGTCTTGAGTACTGTGCTTGTGTTTTATGTATCATCACTAATATTTTGTGTTACTCTTTTGATTGATTTATCATTTAAACTCAACCACTTCCAAATATACTCCTATAGGTTGCAGTCAGTTTGTTGAAGTGTTGATTGCCTCACAAGTGCTTAGATAAAATATTGGTTATATACTTATATGGTGACATCACTTTTCAGAAATCTTGGATCCGCCACTGATCCGTAGATGTATGAACTTGCGTACACAATATATGCTGATTCTGGAAGGATCTTTTTTTCTCTGACTTCATATTTTCTTTATCAATTCCACTTAAAAGGGAAAATATATAGAAAGTGAAGTAGGATGAATTCACCAAAAATTTAAGAAAAGAAAACATAACAGGCCACAAGTATGTGCAGTTTGCTTTCGGCGGGGTACTGCAGCAGCGGAGGCAGAAAAAATTTTCTTTGAGGGTGAACGATAAGTATCTATTGACCTAAAAGGAAAAAAAATATAATACTATAAAGTTATAACACTCAAATGGGAATGCACTCAATAGATTTTATCAGCTTCATTGAGTCATATTTTATAATTATTCCAACTAGTTGCTTATTTTTCCATTGCACCCTGTATAGTTTAGCACCTAACAATGAGTTACTTTCCCCTTGATTCTCCAGTAAAAAAATTATGACAGAGGGAGTAACATACGACCACTACCTCAAGATTAACTAGGTATACATGATATAGAATGTAGAAAATCCATATTTCACTTGCTATGGTTGAGATGAAATAGAATTGTAGAAGTAATGTTATGGGCATATTTATATTTTCCATATTGGATGAGCAAAACCATCATTACAAAAGGTAAGTAAATTTACAATTTGTAAATAAAATTATAAAAAAAACATACTCCCTTTAAAAGAGGAAGTTGTGGAAAAACTTTTTATGGACTATATTACCCCTATTTTTTGATATTACATTTTAATCCTAACTAAACTAAATTAATTATTATTGTTAATTAATTATATTATATGTCACTTCGAGTTTGTCTAACTTGGTCCCTAAAACTTTCAATGTTATTGTAAAACTCTACATCATATTAATTATTACTAATGTACAATAATATATTAATAAGCAAATTGCATGTTAATAAATTATTTATGGAAAGAGTAGAAAACATAGAATTATTCTAAAATTGTAACATGACACTCATATAGGAAAATTACAAAGAGTATTCTTGCGTTTAGGTAACAGGACAGAAGGTACAAACATGTAATTTTAGAAAATATTAGGATATTTAAGTGCATCAAGATACAAATGGAGGTGAATAACTTTCGTACTATAAATTAATTACAAATTTGTCTAACTTGGTCCCTAAACCTTCCAATACTACTGTAAAACTCTACATCATATTAATTATCACTAATGTATACTAATATATTAATAGACAATTGCATGTTAATAAATTATTTATGGAAAGAATAGAAAACATAGGATTATCCTAGAATTATACCATGACACTCATATAGGAAAATTATAAAGAGTATTTTTGTGTCTAGGCAACAGGATAGAAGGTACAAACATGCAATTTTAAAAAAAATATTAAGATATTTAAGCGCAACAAGATACAAGTGGAGGTATATAACTTTCATAAACTATAAGGTACTTAAATTCAATTAAGTCTATAAAGATTTAAAACCTTTGTTAATCACAAATAATTGTATGTGATCCTATTGATAAATAATATCCATCATATAATATGAGGCCAGATGCTTAGCTTATATTTATGTAGTAGAGGAGATGTGCAAAAATTAAAGCATTATATTTTAAATAATCCCGAGATTTTAAATTATTTCTAAAAATTATATACATTGCTTAGAAATCTTTAGAAGAGGCTTTTGAATGACTACTACAAAGTGTTGGACATCAGATAAATATTGGATAACTAAAATCTTTAGAAGAGGCTTTTGAATGACTACTACAAAGTGTTGGACATCAGATAAATATTGGATAACTAAAATCTAGGATATCATATAATGACTACTACAAAGTGTTGGACATCAGATAAATATTGGATAACTAAAATCTAGGATATCATATTGTAGAAATCAGGGATATGTAAAAAATATTGGGTGTCATATGATATAATATTCATACATAATATAGCATTGTAAACTATAATCTAACATATTAATGAATTTTAAATATAAGAATTTGCATGAAAATGTATGCTTAAAATATGGGAGAGCTGAGAGTGGAGAGATTTGGGAGACGAATTGTGACTTTTGCGGCTTTCGTGGGTTTCGCTTTTGGTTCCTAAACATGACCCAAATCCTAGCCTATAATCAAATTAAAAATGACTCGATTTTGTTGATATCTTCAAAAGGGATGTAGTATATCACTCTATGAACTGATTTGGGTTATGTATCCTAAAATTTATCTTATACATCAACTCTGAAAATCTTTTGCTACAAGAATCTCTAAGAGAAATTTAACCTTTATTTGTGAATGGTATATGATCCTTCTAATTCACCTTGTTTTTCATGATTTGTAATGAACTATTTGACAAAATAAATTAAATTGTTCATTTTTTTAGTTCTCACCTTCTTATAAGTTTATGAAGCATGTAGCTTGGGTATAAGTATTGTTGCGGATAATGGATTCTTATAACTCTCAATCTAAATTTTTTAATGTTATTTGACATTGGATAGATCTGAATTATTTGTTAAAATGCAATTCATAGTGCATAATATGTATAAATCATTCTCATATTATATTTTACAATTTTCTAAACTAGAGAGTAATCGTTTTGACAAATCGTTAATTAGTTAGGAAGATGCAGAAAGACTACATATTAGATTTTGAAATCGATCATATAATTTATGTTTTCTTTATTGATTGAATTTACACATTCTGACGAAGAAAATTATAGAAAAAAGTTTTTGAATATCTATAATACTTGGTCGTCGGATAAACAATAGGCGAAAGTAAACAACATGTGAAAGTGATTTCTTTATAGTTAAACAAAATCCTATATGACCAGATAAAACCTACCATTTTACTTTGATGAATTCAATAATTTATTTTTATCATTAATAATGATAGTTTTTTTATATTAGTCCCTTACATCATTAATATTTTGAAATTATATCTTCAAGTCATTAAATTACTCTTAAGTCATTAATATTTTAAGACTTTTTCTGTGGAAGGCAAAATGTTAAAACCAACAAGATATTATACATGGAAATATCCAGAATTTTTTAATATTTTATGATAATCATAAACTTTTTTTTACAAACATGTTATAGTAAATAAACTTAAAATAAATAATTTAGATATTTGACCACGTACAGTGCACGTGCATTTCACCTAATACAAAAAAAAGAGCAACTGTTATCACCTATTTGGTGGAGACAAAGCTATAGCTCCCTCACCATCATATCCTAAATTATAAATCGTTTGTAATTTTGCACCAATTATTTACAACCAAATACCCAATTGGAATTGCAAGTACAATTTCCACAATAAAATTGCAGATATCAAAATAATAAACTTGAAATTGATTTCATACCGCTAGCATTTGTTGTTGCAACATTCACTGAATCTCAATTAACAAGCTAGCAACATGATACAGTAAGCTGACGACCAAAAAAGCTTTAAACCTTGCTACATTGGGATGTCCAGTAACTGTAAGTAGGAATTTTGTCCACATTTTTTGAACAAAATCTGCAGATTTCTTCCCCAACTTTCTCACTGGTTTCTTCAGTGTAAACCCTCCTGAAGATACAGCCATGCAAGTAATTTCAATACGTAGCACAATATATACAAAGAAAATAGGGTTAATTGCGGAAAGACCCCTGTTGTATTAATGTTTTGAAGTTAATTTCCCTCTAGATACTTTTAATGTTGCAGTTAACCTTTTAAACTAATAAACTATGTTTCTCAGCAAATATCTCCTACCTTATAATTTCAGGCATCAATCAAACCTAGAGATGAGCTCGAAGCAGCGCTACAACGAGCTTCAATGCCAAACAAGACAGTAATCATTGCAGTACTGAACGAAGCTTATGCAGAAGAGAACAGCTTGCTCGATCTCTTTCTTCGAAGTTTTCGTGAAGGAGAGGACACCGAGTTCTTGATCAAACACCTTCTCCTCGTGGCCGTAGATAAGATGGCTTTACGAAGGTGCAGGTTCCTAGGTCTCCATTGTTACTATCTCGAGACTGAGCATAATGATTTCTCTGAAGAGATGGTTTTTATGTCAAGGGGTTTTGTGGAGATGATGTGGAGGAGGACTTACCTTCTCGGAGAAGTTCTTAGGCGTGGATATAGCTTCATCTTCACGGTAAGTTGAGTAAACATGGATTTACAGATACTCTGGTGTAGGCCAATGCCAATCTTTGGTATCAGTCATAAATCCCTCAGATCCCAGGGTGTCTTGCTATTTGGTTCCTCAATAACTAGAATATCCCTCAGTTCACGATCCACTTAAACTCCTCTCTGTTCACAATAAACATTAGTTTAGGGGTAATTTGGTCATTGAGGGACAAGATTGCAAGATCACCAAGGATTTGAGGGGCTTATGACCAATTTCAAAGGTTTGACGAGTTAATATGGAATTATTGAAGATTTTGAGGGACTAATGTCTAAATAACCCTTTTCGACAAAATAGATAAAAATGTAATATAAACTCTCTTTTTTTTTACCTTTTTCTTCAATCAGGATATGGATGTTCTGTGGCTAAGAAACCCATTCCCAAAGCTAAGCCACAATGGCGAAGACATGCAAATAAGTTGCGACCATTACAACGAAAACCCCTTCGATGAATCCAACCCCCTCAACACTGGATTCTACTTTGTAGCATCAAACAACAAAACCATAGCTCTCTTCGAAGAATGGTACAGCAACAGAAAAAATTCAAATGGCAGGAAAGAACAAGATGTGCTCGTTGAAATGAAAAATAATGGCACCTTTAGTCGGTTAAATATGACAGTCAGGTTCTTGGATACTCTTCAGTTCAGTGGGTTTTGTGAAGATAGCAGGGATTTTCGAGAGGTGAGCAGTCAGGTTCTTGGATACTCTTCAGTTCAGTGGGTTTTGTGAAGATAGCAGGGATTTTCGAGAGGTGAGGACCGTCCATGCTAACTGTTGCCGAGTTCAGTGGGTTTTGTGAAGATAGCAGGGATTTTCGAGAGGTGAGGACCGTCCATGCTAACTGTTGCCGAATTGTGAAGGCAAAGCTCGCTGATCTCGCTGCTGCCTTGGATGTGTGGAAGAGGTCTAATGGCACGTTGAACGCTACATGGCCTGCACATGAAGGTTGCTTTAAGTCATGGCAGGTACATATCAAAATGAAGTTCGACACTTTGTTCGTCTACATAGTTTTTTTGTGTATTTATTCGTAGTTCAAGTCATGTTGGCAGAAAGAGTTTTCTTATATATTTACCCCTAAATAATCCATATTTGCAAAATCTCCCCCCTAAAAAATCTCACTATTTTCAAAACTGCTTCCCAGTTCATAGACGTTGGGAAAACATTCACAAACTCTCATACAAACACAGACACCCACACGTACACAACCATGTACATCCATAAAAGATTTCTGCTATTTTACACACATGAGAGGGGAGATCATACGCACACAAAGACACAAAAAGAAATACCTTCAATAGGCGAGAAAACGATTCCTTCTATTTGAACATATAAATGGCGCACGCGCACAGGAATTCTACTACTTGATCCATTACTCAAGACACTCACACAAAATCTTAATTCAGAAGAGAAAGGAATTCTGCTATTCAAACACAAATACATAAGATATGGGTTTCTTCTATTTAACACATACATAGAAGCACAAGCAACTTCAAATAAGGAGGAAAAGGATTTCTGCAATTTAAACAGGCAAGCACACTTAAGCATGTCGGCAATCAATAAGAATGTTTTCACTGCTACAAAAACTAGATAAATGAAGTCTAGTCATAAATCATCTTAAATAGATAAAAGGTTAATTATTAGAATCAATATATCTGCAGTGAACTCATCTAACCAGTGCATTGCTTGTAACCAGAAAGATGTCTCCAACCTCGAGCTACGGAAAAACCTAGAGAAGACTGCGATGCAGAACAAGACCTTGATTATCAGTGTGCTGAGCAAAGAATATTCAGAGAATAACGGCATTCTAGACCTCTTTCTTCAGAGCCTTCAGCACACTACGGATATTAAGTCCTTGATCAGGCACATCCTCTTTATGGCAATCGATAAAGTAGCCTTCGATCGATGCAAGCTACTAAACCTCCATTGTCATCGCCTCGTCGTCAAGGGAATTGATTTCTTTAAGGAGCAGCAGTTTACAAATGAGGAACTTGACAAAGTGATGTGGCAGAGGATCCGTCTACTTGGAGATGTTCTCAAGCTTGGATACAACTTCATTTATACGGTATGTTTCCATGGATAGTTTTCGGTTGTAATATAAGGAATTACATTTAACAAACCATAAATATTCAAAGATAACATGGAAGAAAAAGTTAGATAAGTAAGTACAATAATAAATGAAAGCAGACAAATATTTTATCAAAGAGGGAATCCAATTGGTCATACTTCAGCTTTATGTAATCTTCGGTTAATTGCACATAGACCCTGAAGTATCCTCATTTCGCACTTAATATCCTTGTAGTTTCCTTGTTGTGGATGAAAACCCCTGGGTTAAATTTTTTCGACTATTTTACCCTTGGTGAAATTCTGCAAATCTTGCCATTGGGTGAAATTAGTGACTCTGAGGTAAAAGAGTACAAAAAAAATGGTTTCCTTATTTTTGGGTTGGTTTTTTTTTTGTGAGGGGGGGGGGATTGCAAGACAGGGATAACGCAGGTGGTCTATCTTCACTTAATTAGCAAGGAAAGAGTTTGATTGGATATCCATAAAATTGTACCGTCAGTAACCAAAAAATTGAAACAAATTTCCAGACCAACCTTTTCTTCTCCATCACATTAATGAAACACAGAGTGATGTATTTAGAGTAGGCAAACAAATTTCACTGAGTTATATACTAACCTAAGATTCTAAAGATAATATAGTAGAATGTCATTTGCTACTTAAGCAGCCCTCATCAAGTCAAATATTTTCCACTATTAAACAATTGTATAGTGCTCTATTGAATGCTTCTGCATAATATACATAAAGTGATAAAACTAAGAGCAATTTAACATATTTAAAGCATATTTACTTGGTCTAAGGCAACACCAGAAATTTTGATGCATTAAGTTATTCAAGATCATACCTTTCTCCTCTCAATCATCAGGATTTGGATGTAATGTGGCTGAGAAATCCATTCTCAAAGTTGGCTCTCAATGGAGAAGATGTGCAGACAAGTTGTGATACATACAATGGCAAGCCGTTTGATGAAATCAACCATATAAATGCCGGTTTCTACTATGTGATCTCAAATAACAAAACTACTGCATTGTTTGATAAATGGTACGCTTATAGATATAACTCCAGAGGCATGAAACAACGAGATGTTCTAAATATGATGAAGCACAATGGTGTCTTTAGGCAATTAAGAATGAAAGTGAAGTTCTTAGACACCACCTGTTTCAGTGGTTCCTGTGAAGCCAGCATGGAGTTCAAAGAGGTGATCACCGTGAATGCAAATTGTTGTGGTAGTGAGAAGGCCAAGCTAGCATATTTGACCAACATGCTTGAAATTTGGAAGAAAAATAACACAACAGCAACCCGTTGGCCTGAGATCAATGGTTGTCATCAGTTGAGAAGAATTGGTAGTAACATTTAACTTTTAAATTATTTTGCCCCTTTCTTATATTTATTGTAGATGCTGATCACAGAGAAACAAAGGATAGCTTGGGAATCCACAAACTGATGGTCTGTTGTTAGATTTTCAATGAAGATAGTATACATGTAAAGGAACCAATATAGAAATGTTTTCTTGACCAGTAGAAAACAGTCTAAAATGCGCACCTATAAGCAATTCATGCACCCAGATAATTTGAAAGGAAAGAGTTTGGTCATATTTCCATCCACAATCTCTCCATGGGCAAACAAAGCATATCCAATAATTGTACATTGCACTTAATAAAGTCAGCAGAATATGAACGTGTATGAAATGCTCACTGGAGATTCTGAAAGAATTATTAAATTATTACTAGTACTCTAGTGCATTCTCTGCGTGCATTACACAAAATGTGAGGGGAGAATTGTCAATGAACCGGTAATGATTTTGAGTATTTTTGTTGAGTTGTTCTGAAGTTTTCCAAGTTTAAGGGCATTTCTTTGAAAAAAAAAATCCCAACATTCCTTTGAGGGCATTTTTGTTGATTTTTTAAGCGTGTGGGCTTTCACAGTTAATTTTTTTTCAGATGTAAAGACATTTTGGGAATTCTAAAGATGTGGCTCACAATGTCTAAAAGAGGGGCTTTTCTTAATATATAGTATAGATAAAACCAAAAAATGAAACTTTGCACTTTCCTGAGTGAATGCTTCCTTTTTCAATGTTAGAAAACCTCACTATCCTCACATTAGTGCTCATATTATAGTTGGCATAGGCTGTGTATTTTTCTATACCTCGATCAGAATGAAAGTTACTGGTAATTGTTATTGCAAAGATAAAAAAATCAGAAGGTGTTAGAAGGTGTTTGTTCCCTGTTAGTCAACAGATGCATGTATTCAGATTCAGAAACTAACTTAGCTCCTTTTATCTTTACTTCATGAAAGAAAATATAAGGCTCAATCCAAAAAAAAAGGAAAGTTAATAGTAGATAATGTTACCTTAGCCGGCTGTAAATAACCAACTCAAGATCTCATGATATCTTGAAAACATCTTTTACATTGTTCATTTTACTCTATAAAACAGAATTTAGAAAAAGAATCAGCAATTCTTCTATCTCTTCTGGTCAATTCCTACCCATCTTCGAAAAGCACGAACATACTCAAGCCTCTTACTCTGTGCATCTGTTCTTGCATCTGATGCTTTTAAGCTCCAGTACAAATCACTGTGAAGCTTAAGAAACTCTCTTTTATACTTCCATGTATCAGTAAACATATTATTCTTCAACATATAATTTACTATATCCATTACGCGCTCGAAATACCCGCCTTGAATAAAATTGCACAGAAAGCAATCTAACAAGTCCCTGTCTGCCATTAGAACTTGATCTTCTATTCTCCTCCTAGTTTCTCCCCAAAGTATTGTTATTTGGCGATACATTTTCAAAGAGGAGTAACCTTTTACTAAATGGCTGAAAGTTTCTACTGTGGGTTGGATGCCCTTTTGTTGCATCCTATTGAAAGTTTTCAAAGCATCGTCCATCATCTTGGCCTTGCAAAAGAATAGAATTGAGTTATTGAACTCATAAATCATAGAAGACGCAATACTATTCTCTCTAGTTTCTCTGTCTATGAGGGCAACCAGATCCTCTGTTCTCTTATTAAGAAGGGTATTTTCATCTGACAAGTTTACATAATGACCCGCTGTTTTCATCTGCTTTAATAACAATTCCGATTCATCCAACATGTTATCTTTGATGTAAGATCTCAATAATGACTCATAAGTACTGGCTTGCACTGGAATTGTAGCTGATTCCAAGTCATCTATAATGTCATGAGCAGTCTCCAACCAGCTTTGATGAATGCAAGCATCTATTACATCTGAACACAAAGTGGCTTCTTCTGAATCGACCTCCTTTTGAATATCAATCAAAAGTTTTGACAACTTAGTCACATTTTTTTCTTTCACATAACCATCTACAAGTTTCGCAAGAGCCTTATTAGAAGGAAGAAGCTTCCCATCAACAAAGAGAACAAACTCACACTTACTTTGGGTATCAACAATTAGATCTTTCTGCAACATACTAGGATCAACCACAATTTTAGAACCCGTGTTAAGGTTGCTCGACCCTATTTGAAAAACACAGTGCTTTTGTAACCGCGGATGAGAAAATTTTGGCCGCCGATAGAGATCCAACACAAGTTCTGAAGCAGAATCAAGATCATTAAATTTGAAGTGTAAGCTCAACAGACTATCATAAAACTCTCGGTAGTGGCGAGTTAGAAGTACAGAAGAAACAGCATCAATGTGTGCTTGGAGTTTCTTTAGTTCGTCACGTTGCCCACAGATTTCATATATCCGAGCAATAATTACTATAGTGCTCGCATCAGCTACAACTTCCGATTGAGACATAATTTCTATTATATGTTGAGCCTTGAACGACGACTTAAATTGCAAACATGAACTAAGAACAAGGTTGAACATGATAGTACTCGGGTACATAACCTTATTTTGCTTAGAAATTTTTCCATCCGACTTGTGTTTCAAGCAAAACTCACAAAATTCGATCAAAATTTCAGATGCAAGAAAGGACCCAACTTTAGTCTTGACTAAGTGGGAAAACAAAATATTCCATGAATCTATCGGCGGAAGCTTAAATTTCTCCAAGATAACCCTTAGAACCGTGGATGCAGGAATCGGCATCTGAGCTCTCGCAAGAGTGAGAGCTAGCCTTGATAAAGAGTCATGATAAAGAACATTGGGCTTCTTGTCTAGAATTAAAAGTACTAAATCATATGCTTTACGAAGCCACTGACGGTCTGATGAGTACGAAAAGCTAACAACCATTTTGTTCACCAATTCGCGATTTGGGAAACCATGCAATCTTCTAAAATTATTGAAAGCCTCCAATGTTTCTTCTTCCGAACCATTTTCCATAGAAATTTCAAGTTTTTTCAATAGGGTGTCATAAGAGGAGTGTTCCCATAAGACCCCCGGTCGAATGCTAGTAGAAAGATGCTGAAGACTACTCGGGTTAGAATTGATCTCAAAGTTATTTATGGACGAATGGAACTGATAAGAACGACAACCCTGTGATTTGAAACTTGAGATGTCAACAAATAATTTTTTGAAAAAAAAAGAAGTAAATTACTGCAAGCAATCAAAAGCATTACATTTGTAGCCCCATTAACTTTTGAAGCAGAAGCAAACAACGAGCATCTCCGTCTCAACTGAGAAAGCCCAGAAAAACCTCTCATTGTGATCGCATCAGAGCTGTTTCCGGTGAAAAGAACCGTCAGAAAAGAGCAGAATTTTTTTTATAATACCTAAAATCATATGATCAAATTCTATTATTATAAATTAATCGAATTTGTGGACTAATTAATGGGCAACAAAAATAAGGGCAAAATTCCACAGGCAAATTGGTTAAAGAACCTAATTAACTGAAGGAAAAATTAGCAGCATTAAGATTGAAATTAAAGGGCACACCTGAACTGGATTTGAGGGCGAACTCAACCGAAATTTAAAAAAAATGGTGAGTAATAATTAAGCGCAAGATGAATGAAAGCAGAGAGATAGGGAAATTGAGGGCTTTTAGTTGTGACATATTTGCATAAACATCCTCTAACAAAACTTTATTTGCAGTTCACATTTTATCACTGGCTCGGGTTTTAACTCTTACCCGAATTAAAATAAGAACCCGAATTAGATAATTCATTGGATTTGGATCCGATCCGACCTAAGGCTTAATTGCACTTAAATACCCTTTATTTGCCCCTCCTTCGCACTTATATACTCGTACAAATTTTTTTTAAAATTTGCATTTATATACCCTTAATTTTTTGGTAACATTTAAACATCCTGAAATTTTTAAAACGGGCACTTAAATATTTTAAAGTTTCTAAAACTTGCACTTAAATATCTAAATATAAGTTTTAAAATTTTAAGAATATTTAAGTGTCGGTTTTAAAAAGTTTAGAGCATTTTAGTGTAAATTTTAAAAACTTGAGTATAAGTAAGTGCTATTTTTAAAAAAAATTAGGATATTTGAGTGTAAATTTTTAAAACTTTATATAAGTGCCGCTGGAAAAATAATATGATATATGAGTGTAGGCTAATTTATCAGATTGGCATTAAAAGAAGTATCTCATGACCAACAATGTATCAAAATTATCTCTGGTGACAACAAGGAATTTAAACTTGTACGATGAGACAAATAGACCCGAAAATAAATTTTCTAGCCATTTTTTCGGTGACTACTCAGGTAATGTGCCCACATGTGCTTAGATGGTATGTTTATGATGATGTGATAACTGCAGTTAGTCTCATTCTACCCATTAGAAGGAGTGATTTTCAAATTATGGTGAAAGAAGATAGATTTTTTAATATTTGGGGCTCCTTCTTCTTCCTTCAAATTGATGGTTCTTCATTACTAGAGCTTAAGGAATCCATGTTCTCTAATAATGAAGAACCCAAATTTTATAGAAGAATGGGAAGAAGCTTCCAAATAAAAAAAAACTATATTTGCTTTTACATTAAGTTAAAATATACCCCTCTAATGGTTTGAATTAGACTAACTAAAACTGCTATGGTATCATGTGACAAATTATATGAGTGGTCGCTGGAAAGTTGGTCGGAAAGTTTATTTTTGGGTCAATTTGTCTCATCGTGTAAATTTTGTTGGTTTTCGGGTGTAGACCCAAACCTTAGAATAAGCATCCAAAGCAAAGATTTCTCTAAGTTAAGAAATCAGACGAACTTGGAAGTTCAGGAGAACTTGGAAGTTCAGGCGAAGCCCGAAGCTAAGTTTAGGCGAACTTGGGTCACAAACAAAGCTGAGTTCAGGCGAACCCCAAGTGTAGGCGAGCTCCAAGTGCAGGCGAACTCCAAGTACAGGCAAGCTTCAAGTGCAGGCGAGCTCTAAGTGCAGACGAATCAGTTTAGGCGAGCTTGACTATGTTCAAGCGAACATAAGTCATACTAGTGAGCTTCGTAGTCAGGCGAACTTGTAAAAAAAGACAAATTGAATTTGCCTTTTTGACCTAGGATTTCCCTATAAATAGGGAACCCTGGTCACGATCTTCAGCTGAGAATTTTTCCGTCAACTCCTGTAGCGAGTTTTTCTAGAGAGAAATTCTCCTAATCCCTGTAGCGATTTTCTTGAGCGGTTTTTTTTCTTCAGAGAACGCTATTTTGAATAGAGAGATCTCAGGGAGTTTGAGATTATCTCTTGCAAGTTTTATAATCTTCTTTAATATTCAAAGGAAATTTTTGTGTGGCTCCCGAGGACGTAGGAAAATTGCTGAACCTCGTTAAAATTTTGGTGTTCTCTCTTCTATTTTTTTCCTTGCAAAGTTTTCTTTTATTTGCTGTAATTTCTTCTTTTCTTCTTTCAACACAACACAAGATCCGGAGGGCACGTTCCGCGAGAGGATTTATTTGACATGTTGTCGATAGGACGAATCGCTAACAACTGGTATCAGAGCTTTGTTCGGATTAGATCTGTGTGAGAGCTATGGCAGAAGAAGACAAATCAAAGATTGAGAAGTTTGACGGATCAAAATTCGCCTACTGGAAGTCGCAGATGGAGGACTATTTGTACCAGAAGGATCTTTGTCATCCGTTGATGGATAAATCAAAAAGAAAGAAGAAGGAGGAATCAGACGAGGACTGGAAAATATTGGATCGAAAGGCTCTAGGGCAGATCCGATTGTCACTTGCAAAATCAGGCACACATAATATATATTAAACCAGAAGACAGCGGTGGGGCTTATGAAAACACTCGCAAAGATGTACGAGCAACTGTCAGCTACAAACAAGGTGCATCTCATCAAAACGCTCTTCAACCTCAAGATGGCAGAAGGATGTTCCTTCATGATGCATCTCAGCGAGTTCAACACGATTGTTGATCAACTCATCTCAGTCGACATCACGTTTGATAACAAAGTATAGGCCCTATTGATACTATCGCAGTTACCAGATAGTTGGGCACGTTGTGTGACCGTAATCATCAACTCAGCAGGGAAGGAGAAGTTGAACCTAAACGAGATTGTTAGTATGATTATATCTAAGGAGGTTAGAAAAAAAATCCCACGAATCAGAAGGTTCAGGTTCAGCCCTAAGTCTCGAGCAGAGAGGCCGAAGACGTAATAAGGGTAACCAGAACATGAATCGATCAAAGTCGAAGAAGAAGAGGTCGAACTCGAATGTGATGCCTATCAAAGGAAAATGTTTGAACTGCGGCCAGGAGGGTCATATGTCTTCAATTTGTTATGCACCAAAGAAGGATACGAATGAGCATGAGACTCATATCGTGCAAGATGTCTTGATCCTTGCTATGGACAGTGATTCCAATTCATGAGTTATTACTTTTAATACCAATATGGTAATTTTGCATTTTTAAGTGTAAGCTTTAAAAACTTTACATTATGCAAGTGCGGTCAAGTATGAAAAAAGTAAGGGTATGTAAGTGCAAAATGTGAAAACTGTAGGGTATTTAATGCAACTAATACGAACAATTTTTCAAAATCGACCCATTTAGTTTTTTATTTTTCAAAATCGACCGTTTTTTCTTTTATTTACCAAAACCGACCGGATTTTGTGATTAGCAGATTAATCACTATCCTAAATAGTCGGGGTTGCCAACCCCGACTATTTAGGAGGGTGTTAAACCCTAATTAAGGCCTTTAATTAGGGTTTAACACCCTCCTAAATAGTCGGGGTTGGCAACCCCGACTATTTAGGATAGTGATTAACCTGCTAATCACAAAATCCGGTCGGTTTTGATAAATAAAAGAAAAAACGGTCGATTTTGAAAAATAAAAATACGAATGAGTCTGTTTTGAAAAATTATTCAACTAATACTATTCTCCCATCGACGTCAATCTCAGTACAGGGACTGAGAGAGAGTGAGAGAGAGAGAGAGAGGTTCTGTGATCAATGGCGACGCTTCGAAATCTGAAGATAAAGACGAACACTTGCAAGCGCGTGCTCAAGGAGCTCCATTACTACGAGAAGGAGGTGGAGAGAGAAGCGGCCAAGACCGCAGACATGAAGGAGAAGGGCGCCGATCCCTACGATCTCAAGCAGCAGGTGATGATCTTCCTCGAAACCCTAGATCTCTGTAACTTTTTCTTGAATCGTTAATTTTGTGGATTTAGGTTGACACATCTTGTAGATTTTGTGATTTGGGTGTCAAATTTGAACTTCCTAATTAGGTTAATTTAATCCTGTATGAAAGTTTCGAATTTTTTTTATATCTTATAACAACGGCGACTGGTGATTACTAGATTTATTAGCTTCTTCCGTGGACAAAGCAAAATGTGAAACAAAGATTTTGATGTTTGTAGTTCAGTTTCCATCATCACGAGAAGGTTACAGAAAGCGCTAGACAGCCTAGGCAGCTTCCAGGCGGTTTTCCTTTTTTTTTAATTATAATAATTGATAGTAAATGCCAATATTAAAGCTTAGGCATCGGACTAAATCGCAGGTGGATTTCTTTCTTTGTATAAGTGTTAATGGAGGTCTTGCTGAAGGTCGAAGGAGGTAGAGGCGTTCATAGTTGGAATTGGAGGAAGTTGGAGGGCGTGAATGCTGCAACGGAGGACATCATGATCAAGGCTTAAGCGGTGCGGTGAGGAAGTTGGAGGGCGTGAATGCTGCAACGGAGGACATCATGATCAAGGCTTAAGCGGTGCGGTCTACGTAAGCAGCCCACGCTTGCTTAGACGCCCCCGAAACCTAGGTGGTAAGCCTATAAATACCACCTAGGCTCTAGGCAGGCGGCTTGGGTACTTCCTAGGCTTAGGCAGGCTACGGAGGCTTTTTAAAACATTGATCATGAAGAAATAATGATCTTATGATAGCAACCTTATAGTAATAGGGAACTGCTTCCATATAAGCAGAGAGAAGCTCCGCACAAATAAAGAAACTCCCACGTGGAGAGAGATCCTTAAAATGGGGGAGTTATTCAACTGTCTACTATGCGCATGAATCACAATTCTCGATGCCTCAATATCTGCTAATAAACTCCATATGCCATGAAATCTTTTTTTTTGTAACAAGACTGTGTTCCTGCATTTTAATCCAATAATATCGTCGCTTGCCATGGATGAGAGAGGAGAAAGCACGACCCGCTAGGCTTCCTTGGTAATATGGAACTTTAAATATAATCCATACCCAGTGGATTATATTTTATTGCTTGGCAGTACCCAAGGAAAATCCTATCAAAATAATTTATTTTTATTCGATTGAGTAGTTGATGTTATCTCAAAAGTATACGAAAGCCCTAATTTGTTTAACTTCTGTTAAATTGTCCCTCATTTTTGCAATCTTTCTTCCATTTTATCATGTATGATGGTTACATGTCTTCGGCCATACGAGTGGAAGCTCCTAATTACATTAAGTTAATTCTGTAGAACAGAGTTCATTTTTTAATTTCTAACAAGGGTAAGTAAGTAATGCTGACTGACAATATTAGTCCAGTCTTTCAAAATAAACTAACTTGTGAAACAAAATTTTTATGAGTGTAGCCCGAATGAGGTTTTACAATAACGTAAAGGCAATGTGAAACTGTAAGAAAATTACAATTGTAATGTCACTACAAACCCATACAACATCAGTTGATGATCATGTTGAATCTGTTTTTCAAATTGGCTTATTCTGGTGGATGAAGTTGTAACTGATTCTGCTCCTGTCAAAACTTCTCAAGTTCAGTTTTCAAATGACACCAAGTCACGGTTTCAGCCATCATAAGATAGGAGTTTGTTTCTTAACTTTTGATTCTAAATCCGATGAAATTCTGACTTGGAGGGAGAGTCAATTGTTGTAGCATTGCGTTTCAAACTAATTCTGCTATTATTTAGAGAAAAACAGATTTTTATTTATATAAAGTACCGCCTTTTATGCACAAGGCCCTTATTGGTGAAGCAGGTTGATTGCATTCGATTTGGATGGTAAACCCCATTTAATTTCTATTTGGTGTAACAGTGTTCATTAGAGTAAATGAGCAAAAAAGTTTTGCTTTAGGGAGGGTTTATGTAAAATATATATTCAGTTATAAACTCATTTGTGGAGAGAATTTGAGGATACAGGATGCAATTGGAAGTGGTAGGCTGCGGAGTGTTTCTATTAAAGAGTCTAATGATAAGCTGATCCAGTTGATTTCATATTGCCCTCTTCTTACTGGTAGTTAGGTAGTAGCTAGCAGCATTTTTTTTCTGATTTCCCTAGTTGTAGTATAGACAGTTCAGTAGCAGTGGCGGGGCATAGTTCTCTCAGCCAGGTCAGGCACAAGACAATAGTCTTCCTCCCTCCCTCCCTCCTCCCTCACTCACTCGCATAGGTATATATGGGTAGTAATTTAAGCACGACAGAAGTAGTCGTCACAGTTTTTCTCAGGATTTCCCTTATAAGTGTTCTTCACAACTGAGTTAGTGGTTACAAGGTATTGATTTGTCATTCTTTATCAATTGAAGGACTACTTAGCATGTCACTTGTGGGCTCAATAGGATTTGTTTTGGTCTAGCAATAGTAGTTGCTTTTATCGATTGAGGGCTGTGTCTCGTGATTAGTTTTATCTTAAATTTACTGCAATGATTGTGCAAAGGGAGAATATGACAAGAACTAAACTTGTGTGTCAGTCAACAATTGATGCTTGGTTGCTGGGATATATTCCTTATTCATTGTACCTGCTCCCTAGCCTGAAGCCATAGCTCTTTTAGAGGAAGCTATATACTGGGCTGTGACTAATCTTACATACGGTGGAGTATAATCAAGAGCTGCACAGTTAATGTATTTGTTTATTTAACTGAGTAGAAGGTGCCTGACATCCTTTGCCTTAAGATGTCAGGCATCTTCTGTATTTATTTGAGTTTGAGGAGGTGAACATTCCAGGAATATCTTCCTAATGAATTGCCCATGAAGAAGATTAAAAAATTGCTCAGATGGGGACAATAACTTTTGACACAATGTATTTGCGCTTTTTAAGGATGGTTCTAATGTTATGCATGTAAAATTTTGATCAATTCAGATAGAGGTTCTGTGACCAGAACTTAAAAAACATCAAGGAGCAGGATCCCTTTTACCATATTTTTACTTTTTAATGCGCTCCACTTTGTCGCTATATTAGTTGCGAGTTTTTGTTCGGTCTTCAGTTATAAAATAAGTATTCAACAATAACTTTGTTCCTATCCATTCTCAAGATTGGAACTGTTGCGATTTAATCAAGATTGATATCGTAAAAGTTTTGCTTCCATCCTTAATGCTCCACTACTTGTGAATCACATGCCTTAAAGCAAAAAGGTAAATGAATAAGCATCAGGACCTGAAGCTTTCCCTTCAACTTCTACTGCCCCTTGCCTTAGAATTAATTATCAAATTACTCGACTATTGATGTGAACCTCTTGCAAATCACATTCCTACATATTGCTTAGTGATCTTATCCTCATACCATAAAAATAAAACTAAGACTTTCCATCTCCATAGTCTGCAGCTTTCCCTTCAACATTTTGTGCTTCTTAGAGCCTGAGTTGGCTGTACTGCAGTAAGGCATTCACCTAAGACAATTGCTGACATAAGCAAATTCCCTGAGGATTTCATTGTCAAGGCCAGGTGTTATATTTTAGGGCTCGCAATCATCTCCCTCTCGAGCAGTTAAAAGCCTTCTTTTCAATCGCAAATATTAGAGCTTCTTAGACTAAAAGTGAAAGTATTACAGTGCTGAAAATCTATCCAACTCCATACTCACAGAGGTACTATTTAGGCTGAGGCATATCTGTGGCTTTCTTTTTTAGAACATTCTAAATCCTTTTCTGACTTTGATTATTATAATTTGAATTTAAAGTGAAATACAAATCTAGATGATCTGAAATTCCCAAAGTAACTTGAACTTTTACTGTAAATGATTTGTATTCACTATTTACTAAGAAATTATTTTCTGCTGTTCGTGAAAAGCAACCTTTACTTTTATTTGGGTTCAGCATCAAATCTTACTATAATTTTTTTCACTGCCATGATTATTTAAGTTTGTTGACAGTTCAATTCTGTTTAATACACCGATAATTTAAGATAATCATAATTCTGATACCAACTGAAGTAAGTCCATGCGGGGTATTCTGTCTCTAACCCCTCCTGTTCACAAGATTCATCATGCCATGATGGCATTTTATAATAGATTGTTATATTGCCATGCATAATTTACCATCTTATATTGGCAAAGAAGCATCTACCAGTAACATTAGCTTAGTCGACAGCCAGCAAATATACAGCAATTGCACTGTCTCTGCTAAAGCCACTCGCTAACAATCCTTGTGTCAAAGAAAGTTCTTTTCTGCTAAAGCTACTCACGAAGAAGAAAGCCTACTGAATTCTGTTTTGTCTTTAGCTTGCTAAAACAAAAATTAAACCAAAATCATTTATCACAACTGTAGTTTATTCTGATGGGCCAAATTTAATCATTCGACAGGAGAATGTGTTGGCAGAGTCCAGAATGATGGTACCAGATTGTCACAAAAGACTGGAGTCTTCACTTGCGGACTTAAAGGTCACCCTGGTAAGCATGATTCATATCGAAATATATGCAAAACATAATATTTCTAAGAGCCTAGCCTAATATTTGCGCGCTATCGCAGGCAGAGATTAAGGAATCAAATCAGGAAGGCGCAGAGATAAGCGAGGCCGAAGGCACCATATCAGAGGTTAAAGCCTTCTTTCAAACATCAGAAGAATAGCGTCAGTTGTGTGTACTTCTTGAATATTTGAGACAGCGATGGTTTCTTTGGTTTCATCAATCAGAGTGTATTAAGTTGAAATTTTGCGTTATCTGCCCTCAGGTTTTACATGTGAAATGTCTATTGCTTTGTTTGGTGAGGGATACAGTTGTGTATTTTGAAATATTGGTAGAAGGATGAAATGTTGTTCTGTTGTTTATATAGAGTTCTTAAAGTTCATGAATTTGAGTAAAAATTTTTCTGAACATTCTACTGAATCTGGAGAAACCTGAAACCAAGGGTAGACAGAAATTTTGGTAATGTATTTCCAGTTAGAAAAAAATTAGAGTAATGCCCGTGGTTATTGCATGATGATTGTTGTTCAAGATGTACGCGTGCAATTTTTCACATTGATGATCAGATTGCTGATTCGCTTCTATAAAATTTAGTTTTCGTTTCATGAAATTGTCTCTCTCATTTTCTCCTCATAACTGTGAAATGGTTTAATCAATGTGAAGAAAAAAATTTATATATTCACATATAAAGTACATAAACCCCTTGTAACATAAAGGTTTTCCGACAAAATCCATGCTCTGATATTGGTGTGTTTGGTAATCAATGTGTTTTTTTGTTGTGTTTTTGTAAAAAACACCATGTCATGGTGTTTATTTTTCAAATGTGTTTTGAAAACATCATTTTAGTCAAACTAGTTTGACCATTTATATAGCGGCAGTGGGCGGGCGGCGGCGGCGAGACGGGCGAGCGGGCTGCGGCGGCTTAGATGAAAAAACGGAATCTTAAAACATCTTTTTGGTGTTTTGAGAAAAATATTTAATTTTTAGATTTTGTAAAGTGACAAGTCAAAAAAACGCCCCGGTTGCCAAACGTGTGTCTTTGTTTTTGTTGGAAAAAAAAACAAAAACGGTAAAAACGCCACGGTTGCCAAACAGAAATCTTTATGTACTACTTTAGATTTTTAGACAGTTCCAGCACAGATGATGTAAATTTAAGACTTGAAATAAAACACTGCTTTGGACCATTTTGTTTTTGCCTCCGCCGCATCCCATTTCAATGTTTCACATTTTAATTTAGACTAGGTAGGACGCACGTGCTTTGTACGCGAACAAATATTTGATTGTTTCTTTTGGTTTTATGTCTTATTTGTGAAATAGTTTACACTATTTGTTCAGAGGAGATATGTAGTAATATTAATCTATAGGTGGGATGCATGTGCAAAACTTACTTGGTCAGATAAATTGATTATTTCTTTTGACTTTATGTCATTACTATAACTCTTTTAAGTAGCTCATGGCTACCATACAATATATTGAGCTAAGTAAATTCAATTTTTTTAAACATCTGCTTGATGGTGACTATAACATTATGATAATATTTTGTGGACAAATATCGAACTTGCTATTGCATTGCTTTTAGTTATGTACATCCAACACTTACTTGGTCAGACATAGATTATTTCTTTTGGGTTTGTGTCATTACTATAACCTTTTTAAATAGTTCATGGCTACCATACAATATATTGAGCTGAGTAAAATCAATTTTTTTAAACATATACTTGATGGTGATTATAACATTGTGATAATATTTTGTGTACAAATATCGAACTTGCTGTTGCATTGATTTTAGTTATGTCATTTCAAACGTTAAAACATTCATCTAACAAATATATTAAATATTCCAAGTTGTAATTTTTTGCACATGTTACGTCATATAGCAAATTCATAAAGCGATGCAAAATCCATAATAAATACATACCTAACAAACTTCACATGAGACCAACAAAAAAGATTAGTTATATGATACACAACATCAGTTTAAGAATAATAGATATTATATATCAAGATGTTGCTGATTACTAATACACAAAACTAATATGATTGTCAATGTGGATAAAATACTTCTAACCAATAACTATGTTCCTACAAAAATACTACGTCACACTTTTCGTGCTAAATTTGAATTTCCCCTTAAAAATAAAATATTAGGTATAAGGTTATGGAAAACGCTAGGCAGCCTAGGCGTTGGACGCGATGCCTAGAGCATATGCGCTTAGGCAACTGATCGAAGATTTCAGTTTTTCAGGGTGTTTTTCTTTTTTACTTTTTTTGGGGTGTTTTTTGCTGCTCAGAACATTGGAAGCATGTTTGTAATTTTTAAATTTTTAGGATGATGTATGTAATTATAGGTTGTTCATGGAACTGTTCAAAAAATTCTGATATCCAAGGTGTTAGTCTGTAGTTTTAGATTTTTTTGAGGTACTTTAATAATTTTCAGATTTTGCAAGAGGGTTATATGTAGTTTTTAAACTTTCAGGGTGTACAATTTCTAGTTTTCCGAGCGGGGTTGTTTGTAATTTCTAATTTTTTAGGGCATAATTTCTAATTTTTTAGGGACCTAATCAACATTTTCATATTTTAGGGTGCCTTTTTTTAATTTTTACACTCATAGGGAGTAACTATGATACAGTATTAGGTATATGTGCTTGGAGGGGTAACATGCAAATTAAGAGTTGAGAGGGGCTTTTGGACAAAAATGCACAAGAATTTGCAGCCGCAGAAGCCAGAGATAGGAGAGACGAACCATCGGGATAAGGTTTTCATTCAAAAAGATATCGTATATACATATATGAAAATTGTATTGATTTTAATGAGTATGAGCTTGAGAGTGGTTTTGTGCAATATTGCACATTAATATATTCGTGCATGCATGAGAGGGACGGAGACAATACTTGTATCAGATAGTTTAATTAAGGTTTATTTAACAATCCAAACGATTATTTTGGTTAAATTTAACGTCTGTATAAAAGGGTTCTTTTAATTATGATAAGAACAAGATAAAATCATAGTACGATATTTAAACAGATCATATATATATATATACATATATATATATATATACTCATTTAACAATATGAGCTGTCAACTCTATGACACGTGAGCTCCACAACGTGTCATAGAGCTGGCAACTCATTTAGTTAAATGAGTCGTTAACTCATACACATTTTTCCTTATGTATATGTGTGTGTGTGTTGTGTACGTGTGTATAGAGTATGTGAGTGGGGGCCACGAGCCCACGAGGTGGGCAAAGGAATTTTCTTTCTGCGGTTTCATTTCCGCATGATGAAGGCCCACCCGATTATTTCTTTAGCAGACTATAAATATCCCAGCATTTATTTTAGGGCTTCGTGCGAAAGAGGGTTTGTGCGACTGTGTTTCTTTCCTTTGGCAAAGGGTTCGTGCAAGGTGGTTTTGCAACTGCAGGAGAAAAACGCAGGCAGCGGCTACGAGATTTTGAGCAGTCCCTTTTAGGGTTTTGTGCATCTTTTTTGAGAGATATAATTGTGTGAGGGGTTTGAGAGTTTGTGTGAGGGTTTAGATTGAGTGATTGTAAATCCTAGTTGTATTCTCTCCCTCTAGTAGTAGATCTCCCCCTCCTTGCCCCGTGAACGTAGGCAATTTTCCGAACCACGTAAATTGGTTGTCTCGCTATTTGTGTGATTTGTAATAGCTTTTAGGTTTTCTCGACAGGCCAGTCCTAGAACTGATGAGAGGAAGAGCTGATATCTCACTCGGTTGAGATATTTTGCTTAAGGTTCTTGTTTCCTTTGTGAAACATGAATTCCTATTGCGACCTGACTCTCTTGTTGTGCTACCGAAGTACTGCCGAAATCTCCGATGTGCTCAACAAGTGGTATCAGAGCCCAGATTCCAGATTTAGGGTTTTAGAGTTTGGTGGAGGAAGATTCTTGTGTGAAGCTTGGTTCTTGGAGTTCTAGGCTTCGGTTAAGATAGCATTAGGAGTTGCTATTGGAGATTTCGCTTTCCTCTTATGGATAGTGTTGAATATCATTTCTCCATGATAATGTTTTGATGATAACAATCTATATTGTGTGTGCACTAACTTTCATATGCAGATTTCAATATCAGAATATGTACAAGTGCAAGTGGATATCAAGGCATTTTGAAGTGAAGAAAATAAAGAACAAAAGATAATGTATTTGAATTTTTTCTTTACTTAGAATATTTGTACAAGCCTTGATCACACACATGCACACACACACAATTTTAGAATACAGTAACACAGGCTAAGTGTGTTGGTTAACTATAGAAATCCCCTATGTTAACCATTAGAATAGTAGTTAAAACTTAATTATAAAAACTCATTATTTCTGAATTTTTGATCTTAATAGTCGACTAATTAGGATAGTAGTCGACTACTCATGTATATAACTCAAATACATGTTTCTGTCTTTTTACAGTATAGTCGACTAATCAACATTATAGTCGACTACTGAAGAAAATGTCAGTTTTCAAGTTTCTGTCAAATTACAGTATAGTCGACTAATGAACATTATAGTCGACTACTGAGAACATTTTCCGAAAACACAGAGTCTGTTTGAACTCAGTGTAGTCGACTAATGACTACAGTAGTCGACTACAAAGACAGTTTTCCAGTTTTTCAGAATTTGAATTTCTGACAGTTTTTGGCCGTTTTTAAACGTTTTTAAACTTTAAAAAATTGTCTTTTCAAGGGCTATATATAGGTTATTTGTTCAGAAAAATAAAGACATATACATACCCATAAGCTTTGATTTTTGTGCAATTTTTCAAGTGAAAAACATTCTGATTTTATGAAAAAGAAGAGTTTCTGAAATTGCATATATACTTTCATCAAAAACAAATCAATTAGGCAAATTTACAGAGATTAAAAGAATCCTAAGCCACTGCTACACTTCATTACACATTCAAGGCTTATAGGATCATTGTGTTCTTACTACAACAAGTTTTTCTCTCGGTTGTGAGAGGGTTAATCTCTTGGCTTAGAGATTGGTGTTCAAATTGGCAAGGAGTTTGTCAATTGGTGTTGCAATTGTAAGTTTATTCAAAATCATAGTGAAAAATCTCAAGCGGGATTTGCTTGGGGACTGGATGTACACCTGATTGGTGGAACCAGTATAAAATCCTTGTGTTTGTGTTTGCAAATTTCTGAGTTTGCCATTTTTCTTTGCAATTTATTATCTACTTTGCAATAATTTTAAGAGAACACTATTCCCCCCCCCCCCTCTAGTGTTCTAGTGTATCTATTTCAGATCCTACATTTGGTATCAGAGCAAGGTGAAAGATGGCATCGTCAAATACATCACAATTCAAGGAAGGTCACTCTACAAATCGTCCTCCAATGTTCGATGGTTTGACCTACAACTATTGGAAGTGTCGAATGAAGATATACCTTCAATCAATTGGC